GCAAAAACCTTGCAATTGACCTTCTGAGTCACCAAACCCCCTCCCCAATGTGCATCTAGGTGGACCTTTGGCTAAAAATGAAAACCGTACTTTTTTAAGATTTAAATGTAGAGCAATACACTTCAAAATATAGACTTTGTGAGAACTCTGAAAGAAACTAAAAAACCAGTTGCCTGAAAATCCTCATGTCACTTGGAAAAATTGATATCTCACAAGATTAAACTGTTCGACAAACAAATCAAGTACATTTTCTCAATCTTCAAGCCGAGTTCTATACTATCATAAAAAATATTCTTTAAGCTACATGTTTAATTTTTGAGAAAAAAAAATAATATTTTTTTTTAAAGTATCGTCCGAACCACCAGTCCCATAAAATGACCAATTCAACTTCCACATTTTTCCAAATTGTGCCAAAAAGTTCTTCTATCTACTATATCTAATTCCTATTAGAGCAAACACTCCTGAACTGCACAATGAGTTTTCAAAAAACCTAGGTTATCCAAGTATTTTTCAATTTTTTCTGACTGTAGAAAAGTATTTAATCGACAAAAATAGTACATTCGGAAACAGTGCATTAAACTGCATTGAATAATATATAACACAAAACAATTTTGAAGAAAAACCTTTTCTCGAAAAAATGAAAGCAAGGATCCGTCTCTCAAGCATTTTTTGTTGAAAAACTTTTTTTTCCAAAAAAATGCTTTTCTGCGCCATATTTAACTATTTCTGACTCAAACAAAAATCCATTTCCAAGGAAGAAAGTTACATGTTCATCTACCATTCGAAAAATGCACGCTGTGTCTCCTCCATGCTGGCGACCTCAGAGCATCCTTGTATTTATGGGTTTCTCAATTTGATTCAACAAAAAATTAATTCGAAAAATTTCTATGAAAATATTTATTATTGGAAATTCTTCGTCGATAATTGCATTTAAGAATAGCGAATGAAAAAGCTAGAAAAGAGAAGTACTCTCTGTTCATCATAGTATTTTAACCTACGTTATATATATATATATATATATATATATATAAAATTCATTTATGATCACTTGAAAAAGAAAGCTTTTCATATTTGGTTTTTATTCATGAATGAATTAATGATATATAAGATTGTCAATTAAGCATGAGAATAATTACAAATGTAATCTATTTTTAGAGTAAATGTTGTTTTTTTCTTTCTTAATAATATTATGATAACATTAAAAGACTTTTGAAATATTCCAGAAATAGAATTTCGTCAAATTTGTTTTAAGACAAACAAAACAAAAAAAAAGAAAATTCAATCTGATATTTATACTAATGAAATTTATTATTCTATATTTACTTTTAATATTAAATGCAAACAATTTCTATTTCTTTGAATATCGGTTAAATAGAACATGATCAAAAGAAAAATTAATTAACCGAATTGTTTCATTTAGAGAAGAAGAGCTGGTTTTTTTTTTTTGTTCTTCATTAATCTAAGTGCAAAAAAACACATATTCTTTTTTAGATTGTCACCATAAAAAAGCACAATTAACTGAACCAATCAAGTAATATTTTATATAATATATCTATACTATCTTAACTCAATTCATCAGAACAATAGAAAGACAAAATATGAACATCCGTTGAATAGATAGTGTGATTCTCATACAAATAAGATCGTCTATAAGCAAAATGAGAACAAAGAAATAATAAAAACTCTATGAATTTCTTTTTTTTATAGCCAGTCACTTCGTGTTTATGCCTTGTGATAGGTTTGAATAAATGACATTGAAAGAAAAACGAAGTAAAAACTGAAAGGGAATTAAGAACAGGTGAATTTTGAATGACGAACAGAACGAAAGAAGTAGGCAAACAAATATGAGAATGAATGAAGAAAAAAGAAACGGTAAGAATTGACAAATATTCACAGTATTTTGTGCGTGTCTCAATCATTGGAATTCGTCCTTCACGATAATTATCAAGCAGAACAATTACATTTAATAAGAAGATGAACAATGTAACTTGTTAATATTCTAGTATTTTCTGTTCTCTTTTTTTGTCTAATATTCTTTTTTAGAGGTCAAAAACGTTGTAAATAAATACCATTGAAATGACGCATATCTCTCTCTCTCTCTGTATTTTTATTATTTCCTCTTCTCTCGTTCCTTCTACAAGGTTATGCTTTTTTTTTTTTTACCTATTGATAGTTTAACATTGAAGTCTATCGAAAAAAAAGTTAGCACTTATATCTGCAGTTGTATGATTAATATGGAGATTTTGGTATTAAGATTTAGTAGTGCTAGATTTTTTAAGTGTGAATTGATTTTATATATATAAAAACTAATCATTCTTGTCTGGACACATTAAAAAAAAAAGACATTTCTTTCCTTTTCATCTCATCAAAGAACAGTGTAAGTCATGTTATTTTTTTTTTTTTTATTGTAATGGAAGAAATAGAAATATCTGCCTTATTCATAACACAATCAATCATATGTACGCCTTAAGTTAAGTCAAATTTTCGTTTTATCGATGTGTCAAGTGGGAACAGTATATGATGAAAGAAGACAACCGTCGTCGTGTCTAGAACAATACTTTTTTTTTTTTTTTATTGATTTCAAGAGATAGTTAGATGAAAATGTTGGTAGCATGCAGAGTAAATTGATCATAATAGAAGGAAAAATCATTTACATCTATGTATAATTTCTTATTTTCTATAGATAGAAAGAAAAAATTTATTATTCAATACTCTTACATTGATGCATCAATGATAGAAAATAAAATATAAATGCATATTTTAGTATTTATGTTTTTTTCTTTAAGGTTGTTATATAAGATGGTAAAAAAACTCATTCTATACTTCATGTTTTGGTTTTTTTTTTCTTTGTTCTTTATATTGTCCTGTCAACTATTTGTAATCAACCTAGAGCTATTTGAATGACAATTTTTAATTTAAGATGAATAAAATATTGAGATGATAACAACAAAATGACTATGTTTTTTTTTCTTGTCTTCATATGATAGAATAAAAATTTTTTAAAGTAATTATCCAAGAAAAAAATTCAGATTATTAATTATAAAACATTCTGTTTACTTAATGGCATAATGGTTTTTTTGTTGTTTCAGACAATGAAATATTCCTTATGTCAATTTAGTATTACCGATCTAAGTTCGTGACAAAATGAATAAATCAATGTTAACATTTTTAAGTAAAATATCTATTATTCTATTATGTATTCTTGGTCTTACGGAATTAGCATTTGCTCTATGGAGTATACTTGATCATCGATATAAAACTTTAGCTTATAATCTTGCTGATGTTGGTTATATTGTAAGTATATAATTTATACAAACAAAAAAAACAAAACATTTTTCTTTATTATTTATTTAATAGGATCTATGGATATTAAGATATTTATCATTATGTTTATTTATTTCATCAATAATAACATTAGTTATGTGTTTAATCTTAATTTGGGGTTTATATTCAGCACATGTATTTTTATTTATTGCATCAACAATGCTTGTTTTTATTATTATTGGTCAATTTACTATATCAATACTTACATTTACAAGTAAATATGAAACAAGACTTACACTTATTGAACAATTACCAAAATTAGGTAAATTTAATTAATAATAAATTTTTATTTTTTAAAATGAAATTTTATAGTAATTACTTATCGACAAGGTAATGATGAACGTGCTAAACGAGCTTTAGATAAACTTCAATTAACATTTCATTGTTGTGGATCTGATGGACGTTTATCATATCAAAATAATGTACCATTAAGTTGTAATATGTTTAGTATTGGATGTCTTACACGTACAATGTATTTTCTTGATTCATGGATGGATATATTAGCATATATATTATTATTTTTTAGTTTAATTAAACTTTTTATTATTTTATTTTTCTATTCATTTCTATGTCTATATCAAAAACATCGTTTAAAAAAGAATCGTCATTCAATAAATGATTCATTTATATGGCGTCATTCATCAAGTTTAGATTCTTCATTAGCTGATAATCTATCAAAAAAAGCTCTTATGTCAACAACAATAACAAATAATGATATAGATGATAATCATGATAATAATTATATTGAAAAACGACGTATTTTACCTAATGAATATGAACCATCATCATCATCACCATCAAATCAACAAAGATTAAATACATCTATTATTTCACCATCATCATTCAATAATAATAATAATGAATTGACAACATCCTATGAACAATATACATCAAGAAAATTATCATCAATATCAGAAAGAACGGAAAAAAGTGAAACAGATGATAGTGAACCTGATCTTTTACATTTAAAACATTATAATCCAAAAAGAAAAGCAATTATAACAGCTGTTCATCAAAAACAATATTTAACACCATTACAAAAACAATTACCAATTATTAAAAGTCGACGAAAAATTATAAGAGATGATGATAATGATTCAGGTAATTATACAAAATCTGATTGGCGTTTTTTTTTTTTGTGTTCGTACATTCTAAATTAAAACCCTTCTTTACAATCATAAACAAACAAAATTTCTCTAAAATTCTTTGTTTTTTTTCTTCTCATTAGGCGTTGAACGTTCATCATCAGAAAAATCTTTCGATGATCAAAATATTCAAAAACCATATACTGATACTTCTACAATAATTAACACTACTACAAAATCAAAACAAACAAATAATAAATCTTCTTCATCACTTAGTTTTTCCAATGTTTTTATCACATCGGTATCTCAAATTCCAACAAACAATGATGAAATTCAAAAATCTCTTACAACATCAACATCATTATCCGATAATTTGCCTTCAAATGATATAATAATAATGCCAAAACCAATATTAAAAAAATCTAGTCCACAAATATCACTTGATACAATTGCAGAAAATTATCATGATAAAAAAGATATTTCATCTATGTATAAACAGACATCTTCTTTATTAGAAAATATACCAAAACCAATACCACGAACAAGTTTAAAACAATCAAAACAAGATGAAACTCTTGTTTAATGAATAAACTATTCGATATTATTTGATTGTTTTAATTGTCTATATTCTTCTTTTAATTTTTTTACAATTGAACGTCCTTTTACTTCTTTTGAATGAGCTGGACTTTTACAATGATCATCTAAAATTCGTTGTGTATCCATTTCTTTCCAACATATTTCACATAGAAATTTTTTCAAATTATTTGAAGGTGTTTCTGAATGTTGATATTTCTTCCATGTATGTAATCGATTCTTATGATTTTGACCTTCGAAATGTAATTTGGAACATGATTCACCAGTAAAACAAACATTACAAAGTTCACAATATGGAGGATATTTCCATGTGATAAATTCTGGATTAGCAACAATTTCAACTGACTTTGGTTCATTTGATGAAGGACTATTCGTTGATGTTTCTTCAGTCATTTTCTTATAATCTAAAATACAGAATGATTTATATAAATAAATACTCAATATCTCCAGTCTACTATAATCAATCGGACTGATTTTTTTTCTCGGTGATAGAAGACTCTAAAGATTTAATCAACAAAGAAATCTTCAATGGATATTGTGTTTTGAACTAGTACTATTGACTAGGAATATGCAGCGTTGATGTAAATATTGATGGTAAGACATCGATACAGGTTTCACTGATTATTCTATCATCTATATTCGCTGCAACATTGAGACATCAACTCTATCGAAATGTATCCGTTTTTGGTAGCAATGTATTCTAGTGCTTCAACGAACGTTGGTGCCACCATGCACTAACTACACTGAGTAGGTAGTCAGTAAACTAAAAGTGTACGTTGCTACTATTGCTCAAAAGTATTTCATTTTTCGATCGTAGACATTCTTAGGGATGGACATCTGAAATTTTAAGCATATGTACTATCTTAGAAATATAGATCAATCGGATCTAAATTGCTTCAGTTAAACGAAAGGAGCTTACTATTTAATCAACCTATCATTATGTAAAATAGCCGTATTAAACTTCTTCCCTTTAAAAAATTCAATTTTCGTTGATGCCTGATCTTTTGTAAAAGACATGATTTGTTTCTATTCGACATCTTCTTTGCCAAAAGTTTTGATGATTTATGTTATTATCTGCTTGAAAAATATGTTGAATATCTTCCGAAAACGTCATTGTATAGGGCTAAATATTTTATCACAGTCTCCGCACTATAGCTTTATCATATCCTAAAAATTTCATGTGATTTGAATACACTTGACCCAGGATTGATTTCTGTAGGGTAAGTTGGCCTTAAAAGACTTACAACTAGAAAAGTTGCCGTAAGTCATAATTCCTCTGCAGCTTAAGCGAACGAGATTCGGCTGATCTCACTGATCCACATTTCTAAAGGAATATATAAACTAAAAATTTCACATTTGTAGTCCTAAGAGTGGCTGGAATAGTTTTGGCCAATAGTGATAATTCTACATAATATCTATTTGATAGTTTCCATATGAATAAAAACTTTGATGAATCTTCGATGACTGAGAAGATAGTCAACCCGATTAATTAAAGCAGACTGCAGATATTGATTTGTTTTAAACATCTAGTTATATGTGGTGGACAACCCTATATACAATAGTTGTTTTCCAATCGATAAATTTGAAGTTTCACAATGAAAATTAGCTCAAATGGAAATAATCATTTTTTTTTGCAAGAGAACTTAGAAAAAATTTCGATCGATTTTGAAAAGATGTAAAGTGCAATGTCTTCTGAAGACTTATACGATATTATCATGTTCCAATAGTTAAAAATGTACTTCATCACTTTTACATTTTAAAATAATTAGCTTATATAAATCATTTCATATATTAGTGATGTAACAATGCATAATAAAAACTGCATTTGTCTTTAGATTCTAAACTTTCGTAGAACTAATTTTAGTATGCTATATATTTGTTAACTTATTCTGGGTATTTGAAAAAAAACAATTAGCCTAACGGAGATGGTTCAGACGAGTTATCGTAGAAAAACGAACGTTAGCAATATGACTTAGCATGAAATCACACCACTCTAGGCCATATTTTGAATAATATAACAATTAAACTTTAACTCATATAATTAGGACTGTTATGAAATCTCAAACATATATATGAAGACATCTCTCCAAATGCCAAACTGCTTTTTGATCGACACGATGGTTATTTGATGAGTATTAATAAGTAATAGAAAAGTCTAGCACGATTTGGTTTTCCGAAACTACATTCTTCAGATATCGTAGTTTTACTGGATTTTTCATTCTTCTCGGGTCACGTGGACAATCGACTTTTGAGTTTCGACTTTAAACTTTGCATGAACAAAGTTCTCAATGTGAGACTAGTTCATTGGACAAGTTGTAACTTTTCTAGTGCCTTCTATCCTGCGATATTCAATATTCGAAATACTCTTATGTGTAAAAGTGAATTTTATTCATATATTTAAATTTCCAAAAAGGAAATACTAGTTGCACAATCAATTAATCTCAATAAAAGCTTTGTTGTTGCAAAGTTTGAAGTCGAAACACTCATGTGACTTGAGGGAGAGCACAGTTATTTGTTGAAAAATCTTGTAAAATTTCGATATGCCAAGAACAAAGACCCGGAAAACTAAACCATTTTAGACTTTTTCTATCACTCTCTAGCACTCAATCAAATAAACATCGTCTTGGTCGAAAAGTAATTTGACATCTGGAGAGATTGTCTCGTCAATAGGGGTCGTCGAAATTAGTCCCGCAAAAAGTTTTGGACTGATGAGTTTCACTCGTCAGTCTAATAGTACGTTATAAAAGTTGTAATTTATCAATAATATAAACTTACTTTCTTACAGTCCAAAATCTATAGAAGAACCTGTTAAATATGAAAAAAAATTCAAATCTACTGCTCTTTATATTATCAAAATTCCCAGTAATAACAGTGAGTCATTTGGAGAAAAAAAAAACACCTTCTTCAATAGATTGACGAACAACTGGGAAAATATGACCTTGAACTGCGCCATCTTTATTCTATAACACTATAAAAATATGATTAAAAATCTACTCACGTACTACGTAGAAAAATCTTCAATATAGTTTATTCGAAATAAAATATCGTATTTCACTTAGATAAAAAAAAAGGTCTGATTATTTGATATTAATTATAAGTTAAGAACAACATGTTCTGCATTTTCTTTTTCTTTTCTTCTTGTTCTTATTTATTTATCGATCATAGCTGCGAAAGAAAGAGAATGACACAACGATGAATAATGTCTATTATCGACCTCTAATTGATAGTAGTGTAACAATGATGAATCAATACAATAATATTTGTATCAAAAAAGACAATAGGATTTTTCTTTTACTTTCAACAAATTTAATATTTGATCAATGACAATATATCGATTAGAAAAACAACCTCTTTTCATTCGGTATAGTATCTACATCTATGATGAGTCGTACATATCGAGATATCTATCAAAAAATTATTTTATTTCTTCTTATTAGTATAATTATATTTTTTATTTCTCAAAGTTTTCTTATTAAATTAGAAAATAATTTTATATATCATATTCATAACAATCATGATTATATTTTAAATAATAATTTAACATTTAAAAAAGTATCTATTGCTCATTATACAACATTATATGGTATACGTACTGATTCTCATACAAAAATTTTTAATGATAATTTAAAACAAATATGTAATATACTTGATCCAAAAGATTATTCATTAGCTGATAGTGTTTTTGTTAGTCTTGTTGATTTTGTTCGTTTTCCAATTTTATCAAATGGAATATCATATCGAAGTCAACATCAATCTCAATTATGGATAGTTCATTCAGAAGAATCTCCAAGAAATTCTTATCGAATAATAGATATGAAGAATATAACAGATCTTGATGATTGGTTTAATTTAACATCAACATTTAAACCTGAATCAGATTTTCATATTCAATATCGAGTATGTTTTTTAATTAAATTTTCTTTTTTTCCTTTAAGATAACGAACATTCTAAATTAATATTTAAATATCATACATTTCAGTCATTGAAGAATTCCTATTGATCCTACAAATTCTTTGAAAAATAGAATATGCATAAGTTTAAAAGAATTATCCATATGCATAATTGTTAAAATAAAGAAGAATTTTGTTAATTCAGCAACATTAAAGATATAAGAGTTTTTCTTATTATTTTGTAATAATTGCCGACTTTTAGGTTCTTACCGTATCGTCAATGACCATTTAGATGAAACAAAATAAGAAGAAATATGAAATATAGAGATATACAAAGGTAGGAATATCTAACAGGAAAATTATTCACAACATATAAATACATCATTGAAAAAGAATACACAGACAGATTAGTAGAATAGTAAATAAAAGACAAGGACAGAGCGATTAGTACACTCGCAATAAGATTTTACTGTTATATTTTCATAGATGTTTAGGCAAGAATAAATGGCTTATAGCAGATTTTTCCTGACTAGGAAAGTTCTTCAACTAATAAATCGTTTTTTAGTCGAGACAATGTGCATTATGCAAACTCAAACGAGCTATAAATACCATAAAATGAGTTCAGAAATACAAAGAAAACCGATTTTTGAATTTCGACTTCGAACTTTGCATAGAAACAGGTCTTAACGAAAGCAATTTTTCGTAAAAATTTTAAATATTTTGATTTCCTTCTATCCTAAAATAATGACATAAAATCTATCAGTTTACACACGCTATTCTCATTAAGGCTTGTCTCTATGAAAAGTTTCAAGTTGAAATTCGAAATTCGAAACACAATTTTCTTGATGCTCTTGAGAGAACCATGGCATTCATATTTACAAACTAGTGTAAAAGTGTAGCATCTCCGCAGCAATAAACTAAGAACACGAACTCTTTTCAGAGTATTTATAGCTCATTTAGATCTGCATAATGCACATAACTTCGACTCAAAAGCGATGTATCAGTTGAAGAACTTCTCTCGTAAATAGTGGAATCGAGTTTCTTTCATTGTCTCCCATACTATTCATAACCTTTATTAGAGAAATAGTTTTGGGAAGTTTTAGAGAATTTATCAGAAGTTTACTTGTAAACATCGAATTGAAAATTCTCATAGTGCTTAGAACTATCTAAACTTATTCAATGATGCACGTTCAAAAAAAGTATCTCTGCATTCATTGAATCAGCTAACGTTATCAAATCGTTACTTTAATACTTAACGCATCTATTCACAAGAGGAGATAACTCATCAAACAAGCATGCAAAGAAACATGAAAGATGTAATTTAATACATTTATCGAATTGATATCACTGAAGATTAATAACATGATTAAACATATTCAAGTTTAACACTTGATAAAAGTATGTTCATTCTAATTATTTGAGCATCTATAGTTTATTTCTGAAAAATTGTAGGATATTGTGTAAAGTGAAATTTCATGAGAGAAGTACTCCAATGAATTTCTCATTTTTTGAGCTGATCTTTTGTCTATAGATAGAACTTGTTACAACTAGAAAAAATTGCTCGTACACATGACCTATCAGTCATCATTTTATTGAATTGTCAGCCTAGAGGAGAGCATGATAAAGTTTATTATCCAGAAAATTCAAATTTCTGCACATAATTATATAATAGATCAAACAAGCCCAAGTAATACTACTGCTAGCGTCCAGATTAAATATTGATGATGTGTAGCTAAAATTCATTTTTATACATTCATTTGAAAGAATACAATCTCTAGTTTGTACTGAGTTGGATTTTCTGGAAATAGAAACTTACCATTTCATGACCTAGGACATGATATCTACTGGTAACTCAAATGAAGGTATTTCGATCTGAATTTCTATTCATAAATAAGTCTAATAATTTCTAATATCTACTAAAATTTATTGACTCAAAACAAACGTTTTCTTCTTCTCGATATATTTAAATTTCAAAAAATTGTCCTCGGATAACAAACAATTCGTATTAATTGAGCTGTCTTGAAAATTCAATCTCTCGAGAAGAAGACATGCGTTTTGATTGAAAATTTTGACGTGTATCAACAAGCATTACATCAATTGATGAACAGAATTTCATATCGAAATATTCTTTATTCCTATAGATCAACATAAGAGCTCAAAATCGACGAAACAGTTTATATAATTTCCTCATCAGTGTAGAACTGATTTTCTATTTTATTCTTTAATATATCGACAAACGAATATCTTAATTTCAAGTCAAAAGAATGTTCCTTGCACGAGATATTTAATCCTTCAAAAAACATGGAATTCTGGAATCTTTCATGGAATATGAAAGATTTTTGGGAATTCAATATCTCATGAAAAGAACATTCTTTTGACATGAAATTTTCAGGACATTCTATTTACTAGTAGACCTATCTGTGGGCAAAATTTCAGCTCAAAATATCGTCATTTCGATTCTTTAGTGCACACAGTACTATAGACTAAAATTTCAGTAAAATGCCTATAATTTTGTAGAGAAGGCCTGTGGGCACTTGTCCTTTTTAGGTTTTTCATATCTCATTGGAGTCTGCATTATGCACAAAGTCTGAACTCAAAAGCTTTTAAACAGTTGGGGTACTTCCCTCGTAAGATAGCTTTTAGATCTAGTCATATATGCTTTTGTAGAGAATTTCAAGCACTATCTTTTGATAATAAAAAGGGCTTTAATTACAGGGATAATAGAGGAAAAATCTTAAAAATACTGACAGGTCCATTTTTCCTGGGACACCCGTTAGATGAAATTGAAGAGAAGACCGTGCGATAGATAACTTCATGTTTTACTAAGCTTTTCCATGTTAGCCGACTCGAGTCCGACACTGACAGATACTATATGATTTCTGCTCTAGAGTCATATTTATACATGAACAATTGAGAATTGATTGATATAAAACAATAAAAAACGTACATTGTTTGTTTGTTTCCTTTTTTTCTACGTCAGGGATATCGTATCAAACCGGAAATTGGTGATCTTCTTAAAAATAAACTCAATATCAGTCTTCATCAATCAATCAATTTAACGTTAGATTTATTATCAGATACTTTTATTAATGGATCTTCTATTTATTTAAATACTGTTTTGTCTATATTTCATAAGGAATTAATTAATCGAAAAAATATTCTATTAAATATTTGTCCTTATACTTGTAATCAACCATTATCATCTCATGCGATAAAATCTCTTCAACCTTATTTAAAACAAACTAAACAAAAAATTTTAAATCAAAATATTGTTTATATTGCTTGGTTTGTTTCTAATTGTAATACTCATTCACGTCGTGAAGATTATGTAAATAAATTACGTTCACAAAAAGGTATTCATATTGATATATATGGTAATTGCAAATCAATTTATCATTCACCAATTTCATCAATTCAATGTCAAACACTTAAATCAAATTGCACAGAAAATATTTTATTAAATTATCGTTTTTATTTATCATTTGAAAATTCAAAATGTGATGCATATATAACAGAAAAATATTGGATACAAGGTTTAAATGGACATGCTGTACCTATTGTATTAGGTGCTAAAAAAGAACAATATCAACGGATAGCAATATCAAATTCATATGTACATGTTGATGATTTTCAAACAATAGAAGATCTTGCTAAAGAACTTCATCGTTTAAATAAAAATTATTCTGATTATTCAAAATATCTGCAATGGACACAATTATATGATATTTCACATCGTTATAAACCCACATCAATAATTGATATGCATTCAACACTTTGTTTTCTTGGTCATTATCAATATTTACATTCTCTAAAAGAAAAAAATCAACAAATTTTATATTTAATGCATATTATAAGAAAAATATTTAATATAACAAATATGCGTTTGCCAAATTTTAATTGGACAACAGCTAAAACGAATTTGATACGTATTAGTCAATTTTATAATCCAAATGTAAATTGTTGGGATAATAATTATCCATCGATATTTAAACAAATTTATAATTATTTATTTACATGGTGGAAATTGTTTTAATATATTTTTATTTTTTAACATATAATTTGATATTAGTAAGAAAAAAAAGTTAACTCAATATTTTATTGAATAGTTTTCTTTTTGCAGAATAACTATTTCTTTCTTATTAAAAATCAAACTAACGAGAGAATTAGAGTCCGCCTACGAAAAAATTTTTGAAGAAAAATCACGATAAATCACGATTTCTTTAGATCACGGTACACCACGATTTCTTTGAATCGTGGTGCATATCTATTTCTTCAAGCATGCTTGAATCAACAGACCTGGCTCAGTATGACAGGATCCACCTGATCTTTTCATCAAGTTCAGTTGGGCTGCCCTTCGAGGGGCGTGTATGGGTGTGAGTGTGGATGTAGGACTTGTCATCCACGCCCACCCTGAAGTTGCTAATCTTGATCCTCGTGTTGCTTTTGATGTTGTTATCTTTGCTGATCCTCAAAACAACTTTCTTCTGATGTACGGTTCATCCAACGGTCCACAGACAGATCTTGATTCAAAATTTCAACCGTGGCTATCCTAAGAGTCAAAGAACGACAACATGTTATTTCCGCTATGGTGATTAATATTACGGAGGCAATGATTGATGTTCTTGTGAGGTCTCAGTCGAATATCACTTTTCGAATTTTACAATATGTTGATATTGTCTATCTTCACAACACCAATAAGGATTAAAATACAGCTTGGGCATTTCCGGATACTTCTTTTGATATTTCTACTGGTTTTGCCTGATATACATTTGAAGACGATTCTACAGCCATTGACATAGCTGAAACTTGGTTGAAAAGACTCTCAGATACTGCATTGACCTCCAAAAGCATTGTTGATGTCTATATTAACTACATTGACACTTATTTTGACAATTGACAATCATTGTACTATCGTGACCATTAGGAACGATTGCAAAAAATCAAAAGTAAATGGGATCCGACGTGGTACTTTCGTTGTTCACAAGGAGTTCCTTCCAACAATTCAGAATCTGATGTATCTTCATTGGAAGGAATGAAAGTATTAATTAGTGTCAATATCATCCTATTTATGAATTTTGTAGCGTTCATAATCTTTTGAAAGAAATGGTGACTCTAAGTATGAGACAAACAATTTTTTATTCAACTGATATACATCTAATATCAGATTTCGAATTGCAAGCATAAATGCATCATCTTTTCCAATAAATGTGTCTTTTTATATCAGATTATTGCAACCCGGAGTATGAGTGTAGATGTTTCTGAGTAAAACGAAAACAGAAAAAACACCTTTCCCCGCAAGCTAACGAGTAAATGTTAATGTCTGTCCGATATCCAGTATAATTGAATTCCATATTGTAAAATACAGAAAGATCAAATGTATACACCAAGGCAAACATCGATTGTGGCTCTTCAAGGAGCACTACACGCGCCCACGCCGCGAGGCTGAAATAAAAGGTCAGTCATGCAAGCAGAACTATTTTTCAGAATTCAATACTAGTGTTTTTATTATGCATCCATCGGCTCTTGATATCTGCGAGTTCGTGGATTTGAATCTGCATCTATTATATCTTCAATAGCTATTCTATCTCTTACTAGAGAAATCCCGTGCATGCTGCTGCACGGCTAGGTTTTTTTGACTTGTAACCTTTAATCTTTGATCCAGTAATAGTAACGAATCTCTTTTCAAAATCTTATTCTATACACAAAAGAAAATTCTTATTGTCTTCGTTTTTCAATATTTATTTCTTTTATGTTGATTTTACTCATTTTCATAGAAAATTACGAACAAAAGAAAATAAAACTATTTGATGAGAAATAAAATGTTTAATGATTTAAGCGACTGTATCAGGAGGTTATTTGAATCATCCAAATTTTTATTTATTTTTAAGTATTGATCATTAAAAGAATTTCAAGCAAAAATATTTTACCTGTAAATAGACGTAAGGCATTTTTCTTTTCAATATCAAATACACCAACTGCAAATAAGTTAGGATAGTTTGTAGATAGAAGAATACGTTTTAGAGATGACGATTCAAGATGAAGCCACTTGATTTGATGATGGATTTCAGGCAAGATTTGTAAACAAAATCGATCAAGTACACAATCAGGTAATGGATAAACAGAGTTATTTGATACATTTCTTAATAAAGTTAAATCACAAGTAAAAATAGAATCATATACAATTATATTTAATTATTTATTGACAACTATTAAAGAGTAAAGTATTTCGAGATTGTTCAATTTTTTGAATATAATCATTAGAATTTCATCAGGTAAATCATCCAATTGAACAGATGAATATTCCATGTTGATCTATATCTACATTGCTTAGCTAATGAAAGTTTACATTTGTATAGACATATAAATATGTTCTATTTGACCGATATCGTCAATAAAAATAATGATACATTTTCTTACAATCGATATCGACGAGACGATAAAGTGTGTGGCAGGTGGGGCTGAATGTGGGTATGAATATTCCATTGTTCAGCGACACCCACACTCTCACACTCAGTGTTGAAAATTGTAAAAAGAATGAACACGACTGAATATCTTTTAATTGTCATTTTATAAAAAGGTGACGAAAATCCACTACATGTAATTATGCTAGATGAGATGGAAGTTGTTTTTCCTCAATGTTCTCTTCACGTACGTTTTACTACATATATCATCAGAAAAGCATGTTTGTTGTCATAGTCTACTGCATCTAATACACGAAATACAGTTATCAGTCAAATTTGAACTATGATGAACAGATGCACGCAGTTAAACAATTTTTTGTCATATTTGGTAAGATTCAGACAGCTTTTAATATCCTAAGCTTTCATCTGCCTTTTTCTTCTTAGGTACGACAAATCGGCTCGGTGTAATGGATCCAGCACTTCTACACAGTGAATGTTTCGAACTCAAAATCAAAATTCATTCATCATGTTACACAAGTGTGGGTAAAACATGTCTTTTCTCTCTCGTATTTATCGTTATATAATCTCCACATCGTTTCTTTTCTCTCCATAGTCACGTTCTTTCATTTGTTTGTTTACAATTTCATATATGACTCATCTTTCATTCACAACACCTCACATATTGCCCAATCTCATCCAGCTTTGCTGACATGCCTAGTAGCACGCACATTGATAGCGTTCTTTAGCTTATCGGGCTTTCGACATCCCAACATCCCCATGTCAACAACACTAGCACCCAACTTCCAATATTCAACCAGCACATTGCGACATCTAATCAGTCTTATCTACCCACCACTTACGTGATCTATCATCAACCTAATCAACAACAATCGCAAAATATTGTAACGCCATTGGAAGGTGAGATGAAGAACAATTTCATTTCAGCCAAAAGCAAAAAGAAGAAATCAAAAATCGATCATACGCATAATGATACATCCTCATCCTGTTCAACAATATCAATAGCAAGGACCAACTGTTCTACTTCCTCAACAGATACAAGTAGTATCACCACCAATGTTCATTCAACTAATTCTGAACATCCACCAATAGAATCAATCAATACCTCTTGTCTTCAAACAAATACAAATAATAAAAATGTACCCAACACAAGATATGATACGAATGAAATGTCACAAGAAGCTCGTTGTTATGCAAAAACTCATTATCTCTTCCATCTTGTCGTAATTAAATTCAAACAAGATATAGATGAGAAGTCTTCAATTAAAAATATATTGAATCACTTTACTGCCACCTACAATGTTAATATAGTATTGGCAGGCTATCGTCTAAAGAACAAACGAGAATTGTTAATGTTTGTGGAAAATCGTGAATCATTCTCTTTTTTCTTCAACGATCACAAGTGGTCACAAGTGATCAATTCACTAGAATATGAAAAGATTCGATCAAATCATCTACCTCCTCAATTTTCTGTTATTATTTGTAATGTACCAACTGGAAAAGATATTAATCTTCTATTAGATGATATTATAAATGATTATGCAAATATGATCAATGCATTTCGATTATCTATCAAAAATCAACTTCCAACAACAATTGTTCGTCTTAATTTAACCTGTATTAAAACCATTGATGAATTATTAAGTAAGAAATTTATCTATATTGATAATGCACGACTGCCTGTAACTGAATATTTGGCTTCGACCGAAGTATTAATCTGTTCGAAGTGTTTTCAGATTGGACATTTTCGAAGCACGTGCAAAAGTTTACTTGAATATTGTAAAGTATGTGGAATCGGTACTGACGATGTTAAACAACATAAAGATGTTTGTAATAGTAAACGATGTTGTGTTAGATGTTCAGGTGATCATAATTTGAACGATTATAGATGTCCTGATATTAATCTTATCGTGCTATATTAACAAAATCTCTATTAACCTCTGCTAGTTCAGTTAAACATTATTAAAATAATTCAACAAATTATTGGTTCAACGATCACGATTTTTCTCATATTAAATGGTAATCGTGGTGATTATCTTCGAAGTCATGAATCAGCTATAAGTACTGGTAAACGTATCGATCATTTGTTTAATAAGTTGAACAAATTGGAGCAAAATTTAGATCGGATACTTGAACTTAATCATAGTTCTTTAGATCAACTTGCTCGAATGCAACAAGTAGTAGCACGATACGAGCATGAATTACATTTACAAAAAAAAATGATATTATATTCCAACGAGAAATTGTTAGTCAATTTATATTTCCACTTTATCAAGTGCTGGTCGATGTTCTTCCGACATCGGTTAAATAAAACATTGTCAATGACAAAGCTTTACTTTGTCCATCATTAACTGCTATGAAGAAAAAGAACTCCCTAATGAATTACCGGTATGGACGAATCGTTTTTTCACAAATTGAGAATATTAAAGCTAAGCTTATTAATAATTTTTACTTGTTAAGCCAAAGACGACATACCGACTCCACCAACACCAATGCCCACCTTCCATCATCTCCACAATAACTCATCCAACATCTGACTTCAAACTCTTCCCACTAGCTCTTCGCTCCTCACCCTCTTTCATCCTAAAATCCAAGTCTAGAAAAAGACTTTGGATAGTGATTATGCTCTATCATTGACTTCCTTTTTATTAACACCTCATGACTTTAGCCTTCTATCTGAAATTGTGAAGGAATGTGTCTATTTTCTTACTCTCTCTTCCCGTCTTCCACATTGGAAATCCTTTCATCATTTGTGTACTTATTCTCTTTCTGCTTCATTAGATTTACTTCACTTTAATGTACATGATTTAGATGAAAGATGGAAAGAGATCCTCTTACTTTTCGAGAAATACAAAATAGATTGTTTAATTTTAACAGAAATAGGAACAGTTGAGTTTTCCCTAATTCAAAAAATTTTCGTTAATTTCAAATATTTTTATTAAAAACGTGAAAATCTCCCGGACCGTGTACTGATATTATTTAAAACTATTATGCGTTTCAAAATAAAAGACAGGTTACCATTTTTTGAATAACTCTCCTTGAGCACAAGATATAGACCTGCGTCTTTCACCATTCGAAAGAGCGATGTCTGGGCCATCGATCGGTATAGAACTCATTAAGACGAAAAATAATTTTTCATAGGTGCTTTTGGGTCACCATTTTTTTTCTGCGATTATTTTCATCAATTTCCATCATAATCTTAACTCAAATTACATCAAAATGTAGCTCAACCTGCTCTTCTTTCACTATAAAATTATCATGTCTTTTAATGTCTGTCAACTTTTTATTCTAATCTGATTTTCAAAAACAAATGTTAATACTATGGCGAAAAAAAGGTAGTTTGAGCTACATTTTGATATAATTTGAATTGAGATTATGATGGAAATTGATGAAAATAATTGCAGAGAAAAATGGTGATCCAAAAGCACGTATGAAAAATTATTTTTCGTCTTAATGAGTTCTATACTGATCGATGGCCCAGACATCGCTCTTTCGAATGGTGAAAGGCGCAGGTCTATATCTTGTGCTCAAGGAAAGTTATTCAAAAAATGGCAACCTACCTTTTATTTTGAAACGCACAATAGTATAACTTATTCAACGCGTTATTCATTTAGCCGTAGGCCGAGTATCGTTATGGTAAGTTTGGAATAAAAACAATAATTTAATGACTTAACATTCATACTGTTTATTGCTATATATAGAGCTCCGTAATTAATATAAATCAGAGGAATCACATCAATGGATCGAGCATCATTGTTTCTCATAGCGATATTGTCAGCACTTACCATTAAATTGAATATCAACGTCGTATGGAAGAGCATAAGAACGTAGGTAATGTAAATTAATCCGATTCCGTGATGGGTATTCGTTGGATTAACTCCAGCATCATAACAATTATGAACAAAGATTTCTAATAGAAGTTATCCTTTTTGTATGACACTTATATTTTATGTTTATTATATGTCATTTCTGCTAAGAATCTTTTTATTTCTTCATTGATCTGTCCAACATTTACTTCTTTGATTCTAGATAATTTTCTATCGAATTTACTTCTACAGGCATTTTCAACTTAACTAAACCAATAAATAAATTAGTAAGTCACTTTTGACTTTTGTTTCTATCCATACTATTGTTTCCATGTTCTAGTATCGACGACAAGTGATTGTGCTTCTCTTGTGCGTGACATATATTTGGAGCTTATGATGCAAGAAATACAAAGACGTCAGTAAAATAGTTTTTAAGAAGAAAGCCAAAAGTATATTTCATTCCCTTGTAACAGATGCGGCCAATAGCCAATGGCGTGAAAAACACAAAGAACTGGAACAGCTAAAAGAAAAAGAAAAAGAAGAAGAAGACGAAAAAGAGGAAGACGAAGATGATGAGGAGGAAGAGGAGGAGGAGAAAGAAGAAGATGATGATGAGGAAGAAGAAGAAGATGATGATGAGGAAGGAGAAGATGATGATGATGATGAGGAAGAAGAAGAAGAAGAAGAGAGAGAAGAAGAAGAAAAAGAGAAAGAAGAAGAGGAAGACGAAGATGAAGAAGAAGAAGAAGAAGAAGAAGAGGAAGACGAAGATGAAGAAGAAGACGAAGAAGAAGAAGAAGAAGAAGAAGAGGAAAAAGAAGAAGGAGAAGAAGAAGAAGACGAAGAAGAAGAAGAAAAGGAAGAAGAGCAACAACAAAAAAGGAAAAGAAGATCAACAACAAAAAATCCAAAAAGAAGAAGAGACTGATCAGAAATTCTGTGTTCAATTTTTTCGCCATTTAGTAACGCATCTTCCTTCCTGTGATCCAACATGATATGTTCAGTGCCCTCTTCCCAATCTCGTGGCTGAAGACCAACTCGTTCCCTCAAAAAAGTTTTTATCTCCAAAGATAGAGACCTTTCTTCCTAAATTCTCATAATAACTAGAAGAACTTTTCGTGATTTGCTCAAACATAGTTCATTCATACATACAACTCTTAGCATGCATGTCATTAATTGTCCTGTTTTATCTGTGTTAATATTTTTGTGAATTTTATTATATCATATAGGCGAGGTAGTGAAGATCTAAATTTTAACAGAGGCATTTCATTTCACAACCGGTCTCAGCTATTACTTAAGTACACAAAATATGTTCATTTTCATTTCATTTGTTTATGATATTTTTGCGTTGCCTCTTTTGATTGTGGTACAAACTAATTCCTCAAAGACTAGTTGCATAAACAGATGGTATTGATATTAGATATTAAGAAGAACTGTAAATTTGATTCACGTTTCGAATGAGTATGAAAAATGTACCATTGGAAGGCTTCTTAGAAGACACATATACTACATGAAAATTATCCTTATCTTACTGAACAATGCGGTTTTTCTTCAGCCGGTAACTAATTATTTAAAGTGGTTCATGTAGAACAGAATGGCAACTGGTAGGATTATTTCCTTACTGGTACTGGTCTACACGGTCAGATCGGACCGTTCAATATATAGGCATGAGTGATTCTACAGTTTTCTGCCTTTATAACAGTCATATCAAATCCTTGATTATTTATATTTGTCTCTTAATCATTACAGTAATGACGTAAGAACTCCTTTATACGACTATTATGCTTTTCACTCTTTCTTTCCATAACTTTTCTTTGTGTTGAAATCTGTTGGTAAACAGTAAAGTTTATAGCGTGTGGGCGTAGGTGTGGGTGTGCGGCTATGGCTGTGGATGTGGCGTGTGCTTCTATTCAACCACACCCACCAACATCCTTTTTCAAACTTGATTTAAAAATCTAGTTTTTGGCAATTACCTTTTGATGAAAATGATAGTTTTAAAACAGTTTTTATCATTCCTTTTGGTTTATATGAATCGAATATTCTTGCTCAAGGTGTTCGTAATGCTTCTTCAATTTTTCAACGTATTACGAACCATGTATTATCATCATGTACTGATTTTTCCTTGATTTACTTAGATGATAAAGGTATTTTCGCTTGTACTTATGATAAAGATTTAATTCATCTCCAAAAAGTTTTAAATGCTTTATGATTATATAGCTAAACAAACAGTCGTATATTTAGAACATGTAATTAATTCAACAACAATCAGTCCTTTACTACATAAAATGAAATCTATTTATTTATTGCCAGAATCTAAATCTTTAGCTCAAGGAAATCGCTTTATAGGTGCATTATCATGGTACAGAAAATTTATTCCACAATTTGGAGGTCTTGTAATACCTATTCATGTTGTAACTAATCTATCTAAATCAGGTCGACATAAATTTAAATGGGTACCTGAATGATGTAAATCTTTTCATGATTTAAAACATTGATTAACATCATCTTCACTTTTTAAAAATTTTCCTGATGATGCACAACCCTCACAGGATGTTTCAAAAATTCGGCCAAAAAGTAAATTCGTATAATTCCGCTATTTATCAGATTTGATCGGCAAATTTTTTTACGTGATAAGTACCACTGTGAAGTTTTTGTTTATGCGGACGAACTTTACAAATATTGTTCAAAGTTATCACGTTCCACTGAAATACAAAAATCATTCTTTTTTCGATTTAAAAAAAAAACACTATGCAGTGTTTCTCTTTTAATACTTCAGTTTCTTGCAATTTTTGGTGGCGTTTATACCCATGAGTTGCCTAATTCGACTTCGACTATAAATGAAGTTTCAAATGCATAATATTAATTCGAAATAAATCAGAAAAAAGTCAAGCCAGCACCCGATTATAGCAACACGTCAAAAGATAAAGTTTTGCCTCAATTATAAATTATAAAGTATATAGAGACTTTCCTATAACTGTGGGAAAACTGCAAAGGATAAAGTTTCACCATAGTTATAAATTATAATGCATGTAGGAACATTTCTATAACTCTGTGAAAAACATAAGTCGGGAACTTTGTATTTGTGACAAATTCAAATTCTTTAAAAGAACATCAATTTGCAACAAAATACAAATACAGATGTACAGAAACATTAGGGGTATAAAGGTATAGAGATTGAAACGAAAGCCCTTTGACGAGGAGCAAGAGCGGGAGTGTGGGTGACAGTGAGGGAAAAGTTTTTTTGGGTAGCGGCAAGAGTGCAAGCGAGAATGAAGGCGAGAAGAACCCTTTGGGAGCGGGATCAGGAGTAAGAGCGCAGGTGAGGGTGCGGATGAAGAAAAGATCTTTGGGAGGCAGCAGCAAGAGAGCGAGTGCAGATGGAAGTGAGGGAAAAGCTCTTTTTTAGATGAAGATAGGGATGATATTGAGGGAAAGTCAGTTGGGGATGGTGTTATTGTTTGTGCTTAGTAGCTTTGATACTTCGATGTCTCTAACACCTGTACACCTATATAGTTTTAATGGCTATACAGCACTATCTGCGTATACTTCGGTACTACTATACCTGTATAACTTTATGAAGTGTAGTGGTGTAAAGTTTGGGTTTGCCGCAAATTCATATTCGCCATCAACTCGGTAAAAAAGCAGAAGAAAAAATTTTGCGTAAATTATAAATTATACTTTCTATAGGAAGTTTTCTGATTGTGTCAAAGTAGAAAGCCAATGTGACTTTTTAACGTATAGACCAATGTAATAACGAAGTCTTAAAGCGAACTTATAATTCATTGTTCTGCTTCGTTGTACAGTTCTAGCAATATATATGATGAAAAGTGCTATCGATTTGTCACGAATTAATTGCTGGCTGTTTCGTTCTAAGGTTGTTGTTATTCTTTTTCATTTCATACATCATTTTTATTTATTGCTTCATACTATGAATTGCTTTTTTGAACTTTGCAAAAAATATCCAACATTGAAAAACAAATAGGTAACAAGGGAAAAGTAAACAACAATTTTTATATAACAACACAAGAAGAAATATACAATATAAGTGTTCATGTAAATATGCAACCATTTTCAAGTATTAGATATTCAGTTATTGAAGACGATAGAAGTTTTCAAAAATTTTTGACTAGTTGAAATGTTACTTGATAAAAAGGAATGACAAATAAATCAGAAATTAATTTGTATGTTAGGACAACAAAAATGGGATGAGTTCCTCAAATATTTGGACGCTAGAAACAAAACAAAAATTTGATTGCATTTAAAAAATTGCTAAATATTACGTACTGCAGGGATTTGTAAATACGGTGCAATGCTTTCTGGTAAAATTTCCGAAACATCAACTTCTTTTATTGTTTTTTTGAAATTCTACATTGGTTATATGGTAAGATAAGCAACTAAAATACACATTCGAGAATTTTTATTTTAACATAGCCAATTCAATACTTCCGTATCCGAATCGTCTCCAATTAATCAAATAGTCGGAATCTAACACCTAAAATGATAATTAATATTATCGTGTGAAAGCATTAATAATTATACTTTTAGTGATGAATTAATTGTGTCAATAAAACTATTTCTTGATGTTATCATCACTGACAGATTCATTTCTTTGGCCAATTTTAATTGATTAATTAATGCCTCTTTTTGAATAACAATAGATGGATGTCCGGAACTAAAAATAGATTATTCAAAAATAGCTCAAAAATTAAGAAACTTACGATATAAGATCCGAACCAATTTCACCAAGAGCAACAATTTCTTCAGTGGATAAAGCATTTCGTAAATTTAATTCAAGAGCTAAATAGCAATGATGCGAAAATATAAGAATTATTCCGCAAGTTCTATATACAACGTGGTGTTCCAAATGTGTAGAATAGTTAGCCTAATTTGCTAAACAAAGAATAATCAAAAATAATGTCAAATATTGTGATAAAAATAATTGACTAGTATGAATCATCATTCTCTATTCACTAAAACTGACTCCACATAATCTAATACTACATATTTTTATCATACAATCGTCATTGAACTTCTTTTAGCTACAATTGAAATTTAATTTGAGGAGAAATACCAATAAATAAATGATTAAAACATTTTTTTTTCAAAGATATGAACCTTCTTAATTCATTTCGACAGAATGAAATTTATTTACTTGGTTTTAAAGGATGTGTAGTAGAATAAGATTGAATAAAGTAACACATATCTCCAAAATTATAAGTTTGGTAATTATAATAAACACATTCAAATATTGATTGATCTGGTCTATTCAATCTAAACAATATGTTAATTTATATTCAATGTACCATAACTCAAGCCAATGATATTCGAAAATGTAAGAAGACACTTAATTATCAAAAAAAGAATATCAAGATGTACATATCCATCAGCAAAAAATAATTTTTCATTGTTGCTATCGTTGACAACAACCAAGATATCTTTTATCGTACAACAAATCTCCTTCTCAATTTCCGAGCGGGAGAGGTGTTTACGAATAGTAGAAGTTTCTTGTGAAATATAACTAAGTCAAACATCATATAGACAATAAATGTACACTGAAAATATTATTCTTGCCTCATAATTAATTGTTCTTTATTACTTGAGAAACAAAATTGGTCTTCTCCATCATATGACACTTTTGATTGTTCACCGTGATCATCTGAAGAACAAACACATTCCTAAAAAAATTCAATAGTTTTTTCAATGATACGTGTGAATAAGATAATGAAATTACCTGTTTATATTCAATATTTGATTTTATATCATTTTCTTGTGGATCAAATGATTCAACTGCTTGTTCTTGTGCAGCATTTGATGCAAACCTATCATCCTAAAAAATAAATGGCTATTTCACTGATACGCGTCGATAAGATAAGAAAATTACCCGTTTATATTCAACACTTGATTCCACATGTTTGTCTTCTGGATCAAATGATTTAACTACTTGTTGTTGTTCAGGGTGTGGGTGTGAATGTGAGTGAAGAGGATATCCACATCCACACACCTGCCCTAGTTTCTTCATTCAGTTCCATCTGCTGATGGTGTTAATCAATTAATTTGAATGGACATCTATGATCCATTTCCGAAAACACCACAAGATAATAAATATGTTTTATGTCTCACTGACTATTATAAAACATTTGTAATGCTATAACATTATAAGTGTTCTCTGCTCAAGTTACAGCTCAAGCTGTTTTTAAATAAGATGTATGACATTATGATATACCTAATGCAATTATATCTGATCAATATACTAACTTTAACAATGAACTAATGCTTTCACTTTCATAATTACTTCGTTATCATCACATTCTCTGTACTCCATATCATCTTCAATTTAATAGACAAATACAAAATTTTAATAGTGTATTCGTTACTGAAATTGTTAAACCAACTGATCATTAATGCAATAATTGGGAGGAATACTTATATCCAATTGTTTCTGCATATAATACTAGTATCCATTCTACGACGAATATTAATTCATTTGAATTTACATTCGGTCGATCAGCTAATCTTTGAACTGATTATCAACCAACATCATTTATACTTTCTAAACTTGTACGTAATTCAATATATTATCACGCTGCAACTAAACAAAATATTTTCAATAATATGAACAATTCAAAGTTAGATACAATCATCATCATAAATATCCTCAATGTGATTTAAATACAGCACTTCTAACTAGAATATTTAACAACAGATCAAAATAAGATCTAAAATTTTCAGTTAATCCAAAAATTATAATTCATAAACAATATTCAATTTCTTGAATTCTAAATATGAACTGCAGAATAATATCAAGAGATCATGTTAATTATTTAAGACCGCCACTGTTCTATTCTAGCACTTAAATTTATTTACATCTTGAAGCATTTAATGAATCAATACTTGGACATATATTATTTAATAGGGAATTCAAATGATTTTATTTTGTTTTCTTTCAACCCGGTTTATTACACTTCAAATATTATTATTATTTGATTATTTTTTTTATACCAGCAGATTTTCGGTTTTGTTAAAATTAGTGTTCTACTTGATGAAACACATGTTATTGACATCGTTTGTCAGATATTAAACTATCCACTTTATCTATTCAATTACCATTTATTAAAAAAACATTTTCTTTTCTTTTTTTATAACTATGTCGCTTCTATTTTGTCGTGATACATTATTCTATTCATTTTTGAAAATATCTACTCAACTTGTCTTCCCAGATATATTTGTATCCTGAACAAGTCAAATAATTCTATGTTTCTCTGACAACAATATTTTAAAGAACAAGTTTGGTTTCTCCTTTCCGTCATTGTTCTGTTATTGTCTTCATTTTTTTTCTTTCTCTCTGTTGTTTGATATCTTTGATTTACTTTTGTTACTGTTTCCTCCACAATAAAAAAAAACAAATAGATGAAACATCGATTTTTATTGTGCACCAGAGAGGAATGTTATGATTCGTACTAACAAACAAGATCATCCATATTATTTCTCATATACTTTCTCTTTCTCTTTTCCTGTTTATCATCTTCATCTATACATAAGTATATATATTTCATTCTCTTTGAACAATGTATCGTTTTGTTTACTTGTTTGATTTTGTATGTGCAACAATAGTCTGAAAAAAAGAAGTCAGAACCAACAAAAACAAGAATTTAAACTGTAACATTAATGCATGAGACATTTCTATACTTACAAATATAAAAGAATTATTATTTTCACATAAAATTAATTAGTAAAAAATGAATACCTTCACACCTTCGAGATACCTGTTCTTATTAGGAACATTGACTTTACTGTTTTTTTTAGTGTTTTCCAAATAATTCTATTTGTATAATTAAACGTTACATAGAATGACAATCATTTGCCGCATATTGAGTGAGACGGCAACGATATTCTTTTTGTTGCGGATTCATTTGATATAATTGAGGATCTAAACCAATATGAAAACGTTCTATGATGAGTCGTTTATCAAGCTGCTCATGTAATTGATAAGCAACAGCATCTTGAAGAGACCATGTATTTGTTGATTTTTTTCCGATACATGTTTTGTATAAGCAGTTATTGGTTGAATTATTCAATGATGTTTCTGATGATCGCTTGTGCACACATTTTGTTTGCCAAAGTTTTTTGAATTCATTTTGTAAATTATTGAACTTAAAGCGATTTATTTTTTTATGAGAAAATAAATTATAAGTAACAAATGAAAGCAATTTTCTTTTTGTTCCCCATATGTAAACTTTTTTATTTTGATTTAATACGACTTCAAACAAATATTGAATTAATTTGAAAGTTATTTTATGATCAGGTGATAAATACCCCATCGCAAGTAAAAGAACAATCGAAAAGTAATGTGGTAAAATGATTTGTAATTGAATTAATGCTGGCTTGTTTCCTTGTCTATAAATATTAGTAGACTCTGTATCTAGTGCGAAGGTAGATGCTGTTGTAACTCCTTGAATAATTTGATTTAAAGTTGCTTAAGGTACTTTTCGATTTATATAACACATTATATGGGGTAATGGTTCAAATGGTTCATATTTAGAAGCATATTCATGTTCTTTATGTATTTTTTAAAGATTTGATGATAATTTTGTCGTTGTTTTCCTGTTATGTCTTATGGTATATTATCAAGTTGCTACAATGTACCTTTATATTCTTGCTCGGATAGCATCACGATAACGAGAAAAATTCTCACTAATGAATTAAACATGAATGTTAAAATAATAATTTAAAATGGAAATAAATTTCTTCTTTGTTAGTCTAAATATATTTCTCTTTTCTTATCTCTGCGATATATAGTACTGGCCAAATAATATAAGAACATGCGATTTGTTTCTGTTTCTTTCTGTTCTCTGCTTTTTCTTTTTGAATTGATCTGCCTATCATCATGTATGCATTCAAGTATGCTCTAGCCAAATATCAATTCAAAATTTTTCTTCAGTTAATTGTTCTCATAAAAAATACTTGTGTAAAAAAATGTATTTTCTGACGTTATCCAAGTAATACGAACAGTTACGCATTTACATAACTTTTTTCATACAATAAAGTCAATATTGTGAAGACGTTTTCCGAAGATTTTGTATATTTGATCTAAATAGAGAATTTTCAATTTTACTTGATAAAGAAACAAAAATTTACATGGATATACGTCATTTTCAAATGAAACAAAATATTTTTGATATGAAGAAAAAATACCTGATTTTTATTGTTTTAAAAATATTACTGCACGAGGATTGAAGAAAATTTTCTTCTTGGTTCGAACCTTCTGGGAAAAATCAGCCGATTTGTTCATTTGTTTCTTGGATTTCATACATGGTACAGATAAATATAAAATTTGATCGGTAACTTATCTAGAGAAATAATTGTTTTGATGAATATAGTCACCATTCATCTTATGAAAATTATATACAAATTTTGTTATTTTTATAATCTGGGTTTTCATTGAATAGCTAGAGAAAACGTGGTTGTAGGATTTATTTTTCTATTGGATTCGATTGAGAAAATATAGTTTTAGAAATGGGAATCAATTCGAGGTCGAAAACAATAATTTTGTTATTATAAAAAAATATTCTTTTATTCGTTGACCAGAGATGTAAATTTAGATATAATAGAAGAGCAGTTTTTCATGAGAGATTCTTTGAGGCACATGATCACTTCAGTAGTTTCCAGCAGTATTTTACATTGAAATGGTTGTAACATTAACGTAGATAAGATTCAGATATGAGAAAATATTTCTAGAATAAAAAAAACAATTGTTAATATAGGGTGTTGGTGTGGGTGCGATGAGAAGATCTAAACCCACACCCACACCCTGCCAAGTATTAAAAAATCCATTCAAGTTTTTCCAAGTCATATCTCAAAGATATTCTCAATATATACAAACAAAGGCATATACATATATTTTAGTCTTGTTACTGAATTCTATCATAGTAATTTATAAGTCATTCACTGTAAGCTATCTCTATTAAAGTGAAACAAAATAGAAAATTATATTAAGAAAAAAGAAGTCGTGAGTTCCACATTTTTAGCACCGCAAGGGACTGCACTGATAAGTTTTTTAAGAAAAATTAATAAATGGCGCTCGATGCTATTTATGTACGATATTGACAGAGTGCTAGAGCATCAGAACTCATGAAAGATGACGTTATAGTTAAGAACATCAACAAACTAGAGATAACAAAAATGGTCAAAACGAAAATATAACATAATGAAGTTGTACACAATACTTCATTTTTCTATGAAATTTATTTTTTAAGTGACCCGCTTAGAAAAGGATCTGAATCAGTACGTCACCAGATCTATTTAAGAAATGATGAGATGAGTCGTCATCTGCATCAGTTGGTAGATCATTGAAGACTTTTATCAACTGTATGTTTATCATCGAGAACAACTATGTTGAAAATCTTGATCTTTAAAATGATGTTGGTTAAGATAAGCTACATTCACACGCTACATACACAAGTGTATGTAGTTTATCCTTTCGTATTTACACCAATCATATTACATTCCATGCTATACCTATTTTTTCCATTTGTCATCTGTTATTGGTTATGATTTTATCGTGATATGATACTCGTGCATATTCGCCCCTTGTTGTGAACGTAAAACACTTGCTTGAATTTTCTATTTTGTGACAAAGTTTTCACAAAGACTTTTAAGATCAAGAACCTATAAATAATAATTGATATATTCATGCTGTGTAAAGATGTTAACTGTCTTTAAGCTAAAAGTGGTCATGTTTTCTTTTTCTTTTGTGGTGATAATTATATCAAAAAGTTGGGACGAAATATGCGAGATATCTCTACTATGACATTATAATTCACCGTTCGAGAATAAAATTATTGAGAAAAAAATTTTAATAAAAGCAGTACAAAATTACAAATCATATTTACTGTCGAATCTCTCACAATTCC